TTTTTCAACAAATCCTTTAGCACAGCACTCAAAGGCGGTTCTAGATGATCCTGGGAAGGCATTTTAGAAGAGGGTCAAAGTAACAGAATAACCTGTGTATCTAGGATTGCACCAGATGAACGCACAGACATCAAAATTCATGCAGTGACTTGAGGGTTAAGACAGATTAAAAACAGCCTCCAGGAGGGAGAAGTCAGTGTAACAAAAGAATGACTTCCATTCTGAAGAAATAGAGAAAAGCATGGAAATCAGCAAGGTTGTGCTGAACAGCTGATAAGAATGGAGAAACAGAAAGCTCTGTAGGGAGGATGGATCCCAGGGCTTTGCCCCCACTCCCCTGCAGAGGAGCAGAAGCTAAAATCTCATCCTCAAGGTAAGCTGGGGAAGGGACTGGCCCCACCCAAGGACAAGTCCACAGCTCTCACAGGCCTTAAATCGTGTTGGGGAATCTGGTGTGATAGTGACTCTTCCTATGTGACAGGTCAGGACTGGAGAAATTCAGTTTGTAACTCCTTATATCTCAGAGGGCAATAGCCAGGCACCATCTTCAGAGGGGGCCTATTGTATGAAACTGAGCTACTCTGGGGGCCTGAAGACAAAGCCCAGTCACAGCTTAGGGAGTCTGGGGACACCCTGCTTCAGTCCCTTTGGAGACAGCTGAGTGGGGGCAGTCCTGGAGAGAGGGAGACCTGGACTTGGGTACACTCAGAAGTACAGATACGAGGTTTGGGCTCTGAAGGGGTAGTGTTCAGTGGTACCACGCTCTGTGGTAAGGAGCAAACCCAATCACCTAAGGATAACTTGGGACACTGACAGCCCCAGGTCACAGCCAGCAGGGTGCTCAGCCTCTGGGGCTGCCTCTCTACTGAAGTTAGCTAGTGATAGGACTGAGAACTCAGCTCACTGCTAGCCAGCAGAACTCCAAAATTTCCTTGTCCTCCTTCCTCCCGCAGGATGTGTAATGATGGGCAGGATTTAAAACATGAAGACAGCCTTCCAGTACATACCTCTGTGTCCTGCTTGCTCCTCCCCTTCTGCAATGCATTTGGGGTACATCTGTTGCCTCCAGCATTAGCCACTCTACAGTATACAAACTGTGGGGTGTCAGGAGCAAATAAGAACCCAGGCCATGGACTGCAAAACTAAACAAGGCCAGGAGTGATTCTTGGTAATGAAAAAAGGAAGCTCCTAAGGAGAGTGCAGACCTCAAGAACAACTGGCCCTTGACCAGTCTGGTCTTAGGCCCTGACTAAATGGCAAGAGAGACAAGCAATTCCAACCTCAACTGATAACCTGCTCCACCTGGCAGGGTCCAATCAGAGGACCCAGAAAAAGGTGTGTGCTGGATAGTGTCAATTGTCAACTTGACATACTGGGAAGAGGGAACTCAGTTTGGGGATTTCCTCTATCAGATTGGCCTATGGTCATGTCTATGTGGCATTTTCTTGATTGTTGAGTGATGTAGGGGGGCCCAGACCACTGTGAGTGATGCCACCCCTGGAAGATGGTCCTGGCTGCAGGGCTGGAGAGATTGTTCAGCAGTTAAGAGCACTGGCTGCTCCTCCAGAGGTCCTAGATTTGGTTCCCAGCACCCACATGGCTGCTAACAACCATCTAGTTCCAGGAGATCTGACGCCTCTGACCTCCATAGCATTGCAGGCAAAATGTATACATAAAATAAAAATAAATAGAAGTTTAAAAGCAGAAAAAGAAAAAGAAAGCAGGCTGTGCGCAGGCCAGAGGAGCAAGCCAGAAAGCAGTGCTTCTCCGCAGTCTCAGCTTCTGACTCCAAGTTTCCTGCCTTGAGTTCTTGCCCTGGTTTTCTCTCAATGATGAACTGTGATTGAGACACATGAGCCAAATGAATGCTTTCCTCCCCAAGTTGGTTTTGGTCCAAATGTTTCACAACAATAGAAAGCAAACTAGGACAAGGTGCCCCAAACAAGCGCTCTGCCCGTCTCGTTCATGTTTTTTCAACTTTGTTCATTCTTTTCTCTCTTCTTTGTGACCTTTGTGCTTTTACTTAAAAAAACAAAAACAAAAACTATACTTTTATTATTTTTTTTATTTCTTATTTTTTTAGGTTAGAATTCAAAGTAATGGGTTTCTACGGCATTTTCCAACTCACACATCATTATACCTCGCTCTTACTCATTCTCCTCCTCCACTGCCCCCCTGCCCCTGCCCCCCCCCCTTTTGCTGGTTGGTACTAGGGACTGAGCCCTCAAAAGAAGACTGACCAGCAAGATGACCTCCAAATAAAACCAAAAGGGATGCCCATTGCTACAGATGCACAAATCATAACACAGAAACACAAAAACACAAAAAAGCAAGACAACATGACTGTTCCAAAAAGACCCCCTGATAACTGAATCCAAAGACGACAACACTCTGAAAGGCTAGGTGACACAAAAACTTCAAACACTGAAATGTAAAAATGATCAATGATTTTAAAAGACATAAAAATAGTGATAAATGAATCAAGGAAGTCAGTTTAGGAGCTACGTAAGACAGCCAGCAATGTGGGTAAGGAGTTCATCAAGGAAACAAATCCTGAAGGGAGGAAGTCAGAACTGGTGAAATGAAAAATTCAATAATCCGATTTTTAAAAACAATGGAAAGCATCACCAATATACCAGATCAACCAAGGAGAGAAGGGCAAAGATAGAAGATCAAGAGCACTCTACATCCAAACAGCATAAAGAACAGCTAAGCATGACCACAACTTCTGAGAACTCTAGGACATGATCTCAAGAGATTAAGCCGAAGAACTCATGGAACAAGAGGATCTGAGATCCAAACCAATGGAAGAGAAAAACATATTCAATAACTCAACACTACACTGAGATTCCATCTCACCCTAGTCAGAATGGTCATCAACAAAACAAGCAACGTCATGGCTGGGACAATGGCTCAGTGATTGAGAGTGTATACTGCTCTTGTAGAGGAGATGAACTCAGTCCTCAACACAAACATCAGGAGGCTTACAGCTGTTGTAACTCCAGCTCCAGAGGGATGCAATGCATCTGGCTTTGTTGGCATCTGTACTCACGTATACATTCCCACAGACATACAGACACACACAAACACACACACACATATTTTTTATTTTTATTTATTATTTTTATTCTATGTATATGCATGCATTGCCTGCATGTATGTAAGTGCACCCGTGTCATGCAATGCCCACAGAGGTCAGAGGAAGCTGTCGGATCCCCTGGAACTGGAGTTACGGACAGTTGATAGCTGCCATGTGGGTGCTGGGATTTGAACCCAGGTCTTCTGCAAGAACAACCAGTGTTCTTAACCACTGAGCCATTTCTCCAGCCCCCAATAAATCTTTTTTATAAAGAAAGCAGGGGCTGGAGAGGTGGCTCAGAGGTTAAGAGCACTGGCTGCTATTGCAGAAGATCTGGGTTTGATTCCCAGCACCCACATGGTAGCTAACAACCATACATAACTCCAGTTCCAGGGGATCCAATGCCCTTTTCTGACCTCTGCAGGCACTGCACAACATGGGTAAACTTACATACATGGAAGCAATATATATATACAAAAATTTTTTTTTTTAAAGAAAGCAAACAACAGATGCTGGTGAGGAGGCAGGGGAAAAGATAACCCTTATGTAGTGACGATGGGAGTTTAAATTGGTATAGTCATCAAAATCAGTGAGGAGATTCCTAAAAAACTAAAAATAGAGCTACCATATAATTCATCTATATACTCTTGGGTATGTACCCCAAGGAATCCAAGTCAGCATTCCAGACATACTTGCTATTCATACTTACTGCAACACTCTTCACAAACAGCCTAAATGTCCATCAACAGAAGAATGAATAAAGAAACACTCTCTCTCTCTCTCTCTCTCTCAAGTTGTATTCAATCTTAAAACTAAATAAAGGGGCTGGAGAGATGGCTCAATGATTAAGAGCACTGGCTGTTCTTGTAGAGAACCCAGGTTCAGTTCCCAACATCCACATAGCAGCTAAAAACCATCCATAACTCCAGTTCCAGGGGCTCTGACACCCTCTTCTGGCCTCCCAAGGCACTGCATATCATGGGTGCATTTACACGCAGACAAAACACTTATGCACATAAAATAAATTATTTTTTAAAAAAATAAAATAAAATTGGGGATGGAGAGAATACTCAATAGTTAAGAGTACTGACTGCTCTTGCAGAGGATCTGGGTTCTGTTCCCAGCACCTACATGGCAGCTTACAACTGTCTATAACTTCAGTTCCAGGGGATCTGATGCCCTCTTCTGATTTCTGTGGACATTGCATGACATGGGTGCACTCACATATGTGTGTAGACAAGAACACTCATACACATAAAATGAAAACAAATAATTTTTAAAAATAAAAAGATAAAATTATATTATGCAGATCATCCTATTAAGTGAAATAAGCCTACACAGAAAGATAACTATTGCCATGATTTTTTCTCATACGTAGAATCCAGGCTTCAAAATACACCAATTTATATGTATGGCATGATAGTAAACGGAGACTGTTTTGGGAGAAGGAATGAAACCAGTGGGAAGGGTGGGGGGATAA